GAGACTTGTCGATTACTTTACCTCCAATTACTCCTCTTGTACTCAATGCCAATCCGCAGGACACTGCACCACCTCCTACTCCTAATGTACCTGGAAATGAAGACACCTCAAATGATCACCATCAAGAAAATGCTACCAATGCTCAATCCGAAAATTTGCTCAGGAGGTCATCTAGGTCTAAAAGGCCTACTAACTTTGATGATTATGTTACCTACCTGACTGAAGCAGAAATGGATGCAGGAAAGTTTACTGATCCTCCCTCTTATAATGAAGCCATTAACAGTGATCAGTCTTCTGAATGGAATAAAGCCATGATTGAAGAGCTTGACTCCATGAAGATAAATGATGTTTGGGATTTGGTTGAATTACCCAACGGTGTAAAACCCGTAGGATGTAAATGGGTCTTCAAAACAAAACTGGACCCGAATGGAAACATTGAACACTACAAAGAGGGAATTGACTATCACGAGACCTTTTCTCCTGTCTCTCGAAAGGTTTCCTTAAGGATTTTTATGGCCCTTGTACTCACTTTTATTTAGAGCTACATCAGATGGATGTCAAAACCGTTTTCCTTAATGGCGATTTGGATGAAGAAGTGTTCATGAAACAACTCGAAGGATTCAAATCTGAAGGTCAAGAGCACTTAGTCTGTAAGCTAAAGAAATCCATATACGGGTTGAAGCAGGCATCACGTCAATGGTACCTAAAGTTGCATCAAGTGTTAAAGTCAGAAGGTTTCATAAAGAATCAAGTGGATCAATGCACCTACCTTAAGATGAGTGGGAGCAACTTTACTATACTTGTCCTTTATGTAGATGACATTCTATTGGCAAGTAATAGTTTAGACATGTTGCATGAGTCCAAGCGCTTACTCTCGCGTAACTTTGACATGAAAGATCTCGGAGAGGCTTCTTATGTTATTGGCATCGAAATACACCGAGATAGAGTCAGTGGTATTTTGGGATTATCTCAAAAGGCTTACATTGAGCGTGTCCTTACACGCTATAACATGCAACATTGCTCTCCTTCTGTGGCTCCAGTAGTTAAGGGAGATGTTTTCGGTTTATTTCAATGTCCAAAAACAGAGGTTGAAAAAGAACAGATGAGAATGATACCTTATGCGTCAGTAGTAGGAAGCCTTATGTATGCACAAGTCTGTACTCGTCCAGATATCGCTTACATTGCTGGAATGCTAGGTCGTTATCAGACCAATCCTGGTCTTGATCACTGGAAAGCAGCTAAGAGAGTTCTTCGATATCTACAAGGGACAAAAGACTATAAACTGACTTACAGAAGGAGTGATAATTTAGAAGTGGTTGGTTATTCTGATTCTGATTTTGCTAAGTGCAAAGATGACAAGAAATCCACTTCAGGGTATATCTTTATGTTAGCTGGCGGACCTATCTCGTGGAAGAGTCATAAGCAAGAGTTGACTACAACTTCTACAATGATGGCAGAATACATTGCGGTGTACAACACAACCTGTCATGGGATGTTGCTTAGAAACCTCATCACTGGACTCAAAGTAGTTAATTCCATCTCTCGACCATTGAAGCTTTATTGTGATAACTCAGCCGTCATTAGTTTCTCGAACAGTAACAGTTCGACTGGCGCTGCTTTATATCTTGATACAAAGTACTTCTTCGTACATGAGCAAGTTGAGGAAAATAAACTTTGTATTGAGCATATAAGTACTAAGAATATGCTTGCAGATCCGATGACTAATCGTCTCCCTCCTAAGATTTTCGAAGATGGGATTATCTAAAGGCCTTATTTAGTTGCATATTGTACTTGCTTACATTTAATAATAAAATTTCCTTATTGTTTTGTTTGTTTTGCCTCTGAATGTGTCTATGCATGCCTAAAGACATATAGACAACATTTATATACAAAATAATGTTATGGGCTTAATTGTCAATTTGATCCTTAGCTTATTTAAGTTTTAAATTTGGTATTGTAGTATGATTAATGGGGGTCTTGAATTGAATATCGATTCAATGACTGTATTTCTCTGCTACAATTTCGGTTTAGAACTAAAATGAGTAATAAAATCTGATCAGACTTATCTAATACTCATCATAAATGATTACTCGGCCAAGTGGGAGAATGTTGGACACGTTTTTATTATGTGGCCTGAGTTATCATTTATCTAATTAATTGATCATTGACCTAATAAATACCCTACGTATTTATTTGGTAATTATTCGATGGACGTAATTACCCTTATGACTTAATTAGGGTTTCCCCTTGGGTGTATATAAATAGAGGTCATTAGGCAGAGATCAACACACCAATCTTACGCCTCCTCTCTGCCTCTCTATTCTCGTGAGTCATCCTCACCTTAGCCATCATAACGATACACCCTAAACGGGAACTCAATCTGCGTGAGAATCATGGCCTCATCCATAACTACGTTTATAGGATTATCAGGTACACATGATTAAATCCCTAATTCATATTTTATGTTTAAGAATTGATCAACACGCCACTGCCAAAAGTATATGACCCTTGAACTTTCCATACAAGTGAGTACCATCTACAGTAACAAGGGGAAAACAGAATTGTAACCCTTCAATAGCAGCAGGAAATGCCCAAAATGCATACTTAAAATGTGGTGCCTCAACAGGGGAAATATTAAGGTCTTGACGTGTTGAAACATACAAAACGTCAACAACTGTGCTTGGATATGACGCTTGTAGGTTATACAACATAATTGGGAGTTGAGTGTATGAAGCCTCCCAATTACCATACAACATTTCTGTAGCACGAAACCGAGCTAACCAACATTTTTATAGCACACAAGCACTTGGAATTGCTCAGAGATATCATGTTGAATTAACTTTACCTTGTATTCTTGATCGATGCGCACTTTACCAACGATCATCCTTGCAATGAACATGTAGTCTATGTTATGGTCATCTTTCCTGTGGGAATAATCGGGATGACATGTGTGGAAGTCATCAAATTGTTTTAACTTCCACTTTCCATTCTTTAGCTTTTGAGACTGAGCACACCAAAAACATGGCGGATTTTTTATTCTTGTACCAACATCGTACCACCCAATAACACGCCTTTTTGGATTCGGATGTCCAAAACTTATTTTGTGCGATACAATGCTTTACATTGGCAAACCATAACACACTCTACATCTTGTTAAATTATACCCATTTCTCCAAACGCTCAGGCCTCACCTTAGCATTTCTCCAAACGCTCAGGCCTTTCTCCATCTTTGCCATTACATTGGGAAATGAATGTACCTCAGGCCTCCAACGCTCCATCAATGCAGTGATGAGGCCATGATCTAATTTAATGGGATGAACTCGATGTACCCCATAAAAGCCAGCTCTACGTAGATTCTCAATAACCCTCGGGTCTATAAAATTTGTAGGGAAATGACCATCATACCGACACGGTTCTACTTTTGCATCAATATAAGTCGGGTCATTCCAAATACGGAGAGAACGATGATCCGCTTGTAAATTTAATATTTCTAAACTTTTTGGTCGAGATCTCTTTGCACTTCATCCATCACACTAATACATATAAAATAATTTATTTGTTAAATACAACTTCTGTTAACTTTTTTCTACTTTATCATATTCTCACTTATTTTCACTTTTTGAAATCATTTAATTTATAAATCAGTCTATCAATAAGAAATAAAAATTACATATTAAAAAACTACGTCAAAAGTTCTAAAAGACAAGAGGTGACAATAATCTTTTATTTTATCAAATACTTAATGAAATTGCATAATTAAACTTAAGTAGTTATCGACAAAAAAAGGAAAAAAAATTGTAATTGAAATGGGGACGGAGGGAGTATTTTGTAATTAAATAGCCAATGAAATAAAAAAGAGATAAGTAAAACATTACATACCTTCCAAAAGAAGAAGATCTTCTTTTACTCTTTTGAATTCTTAAATCTTGTAATCTAATAGATAATTTTTTTTCTATATATCATATTTAGGGAGTTGTAGAGGGAGAAGAATTAATTAAAAAGAAGCAATCCATGCATATGAGGAGGATACATACGGAGGGGACTTCAATTATTCAATCCACTCATCCACCCCATTAAAAAAACCACTTCCCACCCATTAAAGTTGGAGTATCCCACCTACAAAAGTAAAGGCTGCAAAAGTAAATAACTTTTTCAGAAAAATTGGGATCTCAAATCCCATTTTTTTAGGCCCTATTTTTTTAAATACTCTTTCGGGATTTTGAATCTCGTTCTTCCCTATCAGGAATTTACTGCTACACTCAGGAATTTATTCTCAATTTTTTTCCTCCTGCAGGAAACTACCCATGGTTAATGAATCTGTGGAGATATTAAATATAGATGATTATTGTCTGTGTATGTATAAAAATCATTTGCGATTATCATCTTTGGAAGCACCGTGGTGGATTTTTAGCATTATTATAAATAAATAATGGAAAATGCGTAATTGTGACACCATTTTTAAATTTGAAAATAGATATAGATAATAACTATTTATGCGAAAGTATCTATTAGTATCTATGTTTGTCTTTGATGTGAGATATGTCTTCCTTGTGTTGCATAAAAGTATTAGTTTCAATATCTATGATATCAAGTATCCAAAAGCGATACTTTGCATTTAGTAAAAAAAAAAATCTAGTACATACAGTAGTATTGATAAAGCTAGTACATTACTACTATGTACTGAAAGACCTCCATTTGCTAAAATTTCAAGTTTTTTGAGTGGTATTAAATCCCAACTTTCAAATATTATTATTACTTTTGAGTTGTGATCCATTTGGTTGCATAATTTTTTGTTATGTTTGATCACTAATTCACTGATGTGTTTGTTTGTTTGAGTCCCATATGGTGTTTTTATGATTTTAGGCCATTAGGATATGTTTGGGCAGCGTAACCAAAATAAGTTTTGATATCAAGTTTCTAAATTTAATGTGACAATAACGATAACATGTTGATAAGACATTCTTTTTATCCTCACTATGTACATGTTTATTTTATAAACTTTAATACATAAATGTTCACGTTTCACATGTAGACTTTAGAACTACAATAGCACAACTCTGTTGATAATGCGGGTTGGCAATGACATGGGCAGAAAGACTAAACTCAAGAGTCAAGACAAGATTCATTCTTATTCTCACTTGGGGTTCTCTTCTTACACACACATACACAAGGAAACAAAAATGTTCAAAAATGACAAAAACAAAAAGAATCAAAACATTGTGTTCCTGCAATCCCTTGTCTAGGATTCAGGAACAAAATAATGTTACACTCAAATCCTTGAGAAAAAAATAACAAGTCAGTAAGTATATCACTCAACAAAACACAGGGCAACCAATCACTATTAACAAAGCATGAAATTCTTCATTTACTGAGGTGTGACATGTTCTTGCTGGGTGGGCTGGAGATTTCCTTCTTCTAGCTCAATATTTGTTTCTTGGGACTTCGAACATGCACCCGAAGGTATATTAATGCCGGCAAAACCCATCATCACAGCAGTAGCTCCAATATAATCCATGATACCAGGTGAATTTCCTGTGAGTGAATCCACAATAGCAGCCAATGGGACCTGAATTGTGAGCCCTGCTGTTGCCACCGTTGTACTTGTCAAAAGTATGGCCTTTGCCCAGAGGTAATCACTCAGCACGTTATCGAGCAGTCCTGAGCAATGTTTCTTGAATATCAGATTAGGAATCGAAAGAAAAGAAGAAAAAAAGAGAGGAATCATACATATCATGGTAAAGAAAATAAGATTACATATCATCATCACCATCCTCATAGTCTTAATCTCAATTATGTTGGGGTCATTGACATGAAATTTAGTAAATAGTATAGATTAATTGCTTAAAGGGATTTAAAGCTACTTATTCATGCAAAAAGCATAGTGATTATTTAACGCCGGATGTCCATCTTGAGGAAACCTTCTAAAGAAGGAATAATGACATGAATTCTTAAAATTATCATATGTTTTTTCATTTAATAGAAACTAGAAAGTATTAAATGCCTCTATTTTAAAAATAAAATGCTCACCAGGTTGAAGTATAAGGGTTCACACTGGGAAGCAATGTAAGACATAAAGAAATGTAAAATTGTTTGGGCTGATTTGTTAAATTACAGAATGCCTAGTCCTATACTAACTAAACATAATGTAGTAGTAAGTGAGTAAAATGGAATTGCATATATGATATAACCAATGCAAATTTACATAATACTAGTACATGACAGGGAATCCATTCAATGCAATGATGTGCTTGGCTTATGATACCCGGCAAATCAAATTTACGGTTATCAACTAGCAGTGCTAATAACTTTTGAGCTCTTGACTTTGGCATCATCTGGTTGCGGAAAAAGAGGTACTTTGGGAAGACCAAGAGAGTAAGAGATGTCATGTGACTAAAACCAATCATAATGCAAATATAAAAGCAAAACTTATCACTTCTATGTGATTCCCTTTTATTTTAGTAAAGTGCTTTCAAATCTAGATGCAGCAAGTGCTAACTAATTAGAAACAAGTTTTGTTTGACCATCTTGTTTGGACCTTATTTACTCCAAATAGTACAAGCTAGGTCCAAGACTGGAATTGTGAATGCTTTTGGGAGCAAATATGATGCACAAGCCTTGTTTTCCAACTACTGTACAGTCTATCATGTAGCTTCTCAAAAAATGTCTCGGACTAAACAAGCAGCTTAATGGAGCAAGGCATACATTTTGTATCAAATTAAGCCTCGGTTTAACTTAAGAAAAATATTTTCCTTCTTTGGAGATAAATTACACATAAAAAAAGTTTATTCTCTAAGAAACTAAATTCCACAACAAAAATGTTTCCAGAGTGAAACAGATTCTTAGTAGTATTCATGAAATGTAACACCAGTTAAAAAGCATACTAAAAGCAGATAGAGAGATTGTAAAGGTACCTTTGCCAGCAATGAGACCAAGCTGCTTCCAGGTGATAATGGTAAATAGTTCAAGTTTGGTAATGTTAAGTATAAGGAACACAGGTAAGAAAATCAAGAGGTTGAATAGGCCTAAATAACCAAGAAACTGTGCCATACTGACACGGCCGCTTGTCTCATCGTCGTCATCATCAGACAGCTTTTTACGAATAAGGGTTATATACACAGCGTATAAGGCTGATGAAAGAAGAGCAAGTATGTCTCCAACAATAGCATTTGAAGAAGCCACGGATGCTCCAGATTTAGAGTCACCCAAGCTAACAATGATTGTTCCACCCATACAAAGCAGAACACTGAGTAGCTTCACCCACGTGAAATTTTCACCCAAGAACACAACCGAAACCAGAAAGGTAAACAAGCTGGATGCAGTACTTAAAATGGTATTGGACTGTACACAAGTGGAAGCACAATTTATCAACACAAAATTCTCCGGATTAAATAGGAAAGAATGTCAAAAGCATGAATGCTTACCGTAACTGTCGTGTACTTAAGTGATAGGTTAAATGTGAGCTGTGCCAAGAACCAGAATGGGCAAATCAAAAGGCTAACTTTTGCAACTCTGGTCCTCGTCCAACGCCCCTTTGCATCCACACCAATATCTGAGCGCTCATGGATCAGATCTTCTCTCAAAACCACGGTTTCATTCGCTTCCTTCCCCTCTGCAACAATGCTTCGACTAGAAGCATCAGCTTCGCAATCATCCTCTAGAAGAATGACCTCCTCAGATTCTCTCAATTCTTGCAAACCAAAATCCGTTCTGGCTTTCCAAAACAAAACACTCCCATAATTGTCCTCTAAATACCGCCCGATTTCAACCAGGGGAATATATACCACAAACAATGAGTTGCATATGTAAGTTACTAAAAATGGGGAAACACCAGCATCTACAACTGTCTGAACCACAAAACTAGCAACAATCCATATGGACGCAACTAATAATATATACACCAAACCTAAAACCCATTTCCAAGTTTGTTCTTTCATTCCTCTAAGCCTCCTTTTAGACAAACACGGATCATCGCTGCAGCATAAAGGTAGCTTTATCACACTTCGAGCAAGAAAACTGAGTCTTGACGAGAACGCAATCAGTTTTCCACCGGATCAAGGAACAACACAGATTCATGTATTCATGGGGAATAAATCGAAATCGGATATGAAGAGGAGGGAAATTATGGAAATAATGTAAACGGATATAGAGACATGACGGACCGGTGATGGATCCTCTGGGAGAATCTAGTCTAAAGGGTCGTGACCCGGCTAATCTTGAGTTCTGGACGCCTGAAAGTCTGAATCCGGCTTCCTTGGGTAGAGGAGCTTGCAGAAAGGAGACCGGGATTTGTCAAATGGAAATAGGACCATGGTACATGTACCCTATTCATGTACCATGAATACATTTGTATCATGGAGCTTAATGGAGCAAAGCATACATTTGTATCAAATTAAGCCTCGGTTTAACCTAAGAAAAATATTTTATGCGGAATACTCCTACCGCCACTTTTCTATTTTTCCCTTCCATATTTCCATGGATAATGTTACATGTACCCCATATTGCACCCCATTTTGTACCCAATGTTTTGTCCTGACATTAAATTTAGATGCAAAACTAGTAATTTTCCAGTGTTGCACCTACATTAAATGTCAAGTTAAAGCTTTGAGATATAAATTGGGGTACAAATATGGGGTACATACTTGTTTAATTACTGTATGGGGTACATACAGTAATTACTCTACTTGTTCAAAATTCATTAAACAAGTAGAGTAATTACTTCGGCCTCTAATCTCTCATATTTGAATCATCATATTGGACCATAAAATTTTTGATGTCATTCAATTATTGAGTTTGATCAAAAGATGACCTTCTCTTTTTTCTTTTAAAAATTCTACTAAATGTTTGGAAGAATACCGCTTCTTTCATATTTCTTTCAATATTGCCAGTAAAACTTTCTAAAATATTCAAAAATGTAACTAAAATATTTTTAAATAGTTGCAATTTCTTTTACCCATAAAATCTTTTCTTTTTAGTAATATTTTTAAAACATGGCAGTGTAGTATACAAAGAATGATATTTTCTCATTTTTCTTCAATAAAAATATTAATTTATTTTAGAGAATAGTTTAAAATTTTTTAAAGATTGATTCACAATATTTAGAAATAAATAATGGTATGCAGTAGGATATATCAATTTCTTTAAAAAAAGAAATAACAAAAACTAAAAGCCTTGTGCAACCGAAACTAACCCTACCCAATTTTGGTTATGATTCCAACCCCATAAATTGCGATCATCAATCTCAAAATCAAAATTGGACCATGACTTCAGGTCCTTATTCAAAATATGACCTTAGATAAGCGCATCTCAAGATATAGGACTAAGGTAGCTAGATAGTTGTTTAGGCCTCGGTGGTAGTTTTTATTTTTGTCGTCTATGCTTTCTGATATAATTTGATAGTAATTGATCTTGTTAAATAATAAAAGTTCTATCCCTATGTATATGGATTACAGAAGAGAGTTCTAATCATAGTAGAATAGAAATTATAATAACATCATAATAAGGAAACAATAGAAATAAGGGAGACAATTAATAATACTAATAATAATAATTTTCCCATATTATCTATATTATTTTTAATATTTCTTGCAAACAGCTCATCGATAACGAAGAACAGCTTAGAGCATAGGTATTGGAATAGAAGGTTGCGGAACTCATGCTGACCTACCATAATATAGATCATTATTACTACGGAGTATTGTATAACATCATCCATTAAGCCAAACACGTGACACGAGTGAAAGCTTAGAAACAAGAGCCTGGACTCAAGAGAAGATATCACCTTCAAGAGTAAGCTTGCTAGAAATACAAAGACAAATTTTCGTTGCGTGATGAACAATCTTGGTAGGTGTGCTGAGTTTTGTTGTGGCGAAAAGTGTTGGAAATGAGTTTCTTTTTTGTCCATTTGAGTCATTCTCTGCTTTTCTGTTGCTTTTCATGCTCTGAAACTCTAATCATACAGTGGCTATTATGATTCCCTTCACCTTGCTTGGTTGGGATGAGGAGGAAATGTTTTGTTTTCAAATTAATTTTTATATTTTATATTTTTCTTTTTATTATTTATTTATTTATTTTAAATTATAACCAATATTTATTTTATTTTTTAAATTTTATTTGTTTAATTTTTTTTAATTTTTATTACTAGTTTTATTTTTATTATTTCCATAATTTTTTATTTTTATGATTTTTTAATATATTATATATTTAATTTTTATTTACAATTATTTTAATTGTTATGTATTACTTTGATTGATTATTTTTTATTTATTATTATAATTTTTATAAATAGAACTTTTTATTTGTTATTTCTAGTGATTTTTATTTGTTTTTTATAATCTATTATTGTAATATTTTTAATTTTTTAACTTATTATATAATTAATTTTTAATTATCAGTACTATTATTATTTTGTTTATTATTTATTGTTTATATTATTATTTATTAAATATATATTACTATAATTTTTTTTGTTATTATTACTTTTTATGGAGAATTTTTTATTGAATGATAATTTATTTTATTCTCAATTTATTTATTTATTTATTTATTTATATTTTTTTATTCTTGGATTTGATATGATTATGATTCCCTTCCCCATGCTTGGTTGGGACGGGGAGGAAATGTTTTGTTTTCAAATTTGTTTTTGTATTTTATATTTTTCCGTTTATTATTTATCTATTTATTTTAAATTATTACCAATATTTATTTTATTTTTTAAATTTTAGTTTTATAATTTTGTTTTTTATTTTTATTACTAGTTTTATTTTTATGGTTTTTTATTTTTTAGTATATTATATATTTAATATTTATTTATAATTATTTTAATTGTTATTTATTACTTTTATTGATTATTATTTATTTATTATAATAGTTTTTATAAGTATAACTTTTTATTTGTTATTTCTAGTAATTTTTATTTATTTTTTTTAGAATTTATTGTTCTATTATTTTTAAGTTTTTAATTTATTATATATTTAATTTTTAACTTATTATTATTATTATTTAGTTTTTATTTTTTATATTATTTATTTAATATATTATTATAACTTTTTTTTGTTATTATAAATTTTGTATAAAATTTTTTATTGCATGATAATTTATTTTATTTTCAATTTATTTTTTTTATTTTTATTTTTTGATTTTTTGATTTAATATGATTTTTATTTCATTTATTTTTTTATTTTTTATTTTTTATTTATCCTTACTTTTTTAATGATAAGATGAAGAAAATATTGATGGCAAGAGAAGACGAAGACATAAGGGAAAAAGAATCGGTCAAAATTTTAAAAAGATTGGTTAGGATGGGGAGGGGGAATGAATTTAAGCTAAATTTTTTTTAGCATTCTCTTCATGTTTTTTAAATCAAACAAGGAGAGTGACTCAAATTCCTTTCCTTCCCCACCCCCCAAACAAAATAGACACTAACTAGACTTGATAAAAATTGATGAGACATATTTTTGACTCGAAATCTGACCTAAAAATATTAGGTCTTGAACAAAGGTTTTTTTGACCGAATTCAAGATGACACACTAAAAATGGGTCAAACCCGAATCCAACCTAACTGACCCGCTAATGTAAGAATTTTTCAAAATTATATACGGAGTGCTTTACTAGGAAATATAATGTTATAAAAATAAGGTTATCATTAAATATTTTTCTTATTACTTATTTTTAGTGTATAAATTTATATTTTCAATTTTTTTAATGATATTGCATAATTATCTTACTTTTTCCAAAAATTATGCATATTTTAAGTTTTTTATATGGATTTATATACCTAAAAATTACTTCATAATTTAAAATGAAATTATATAATAGATTTAATACATGTTTTTTGATATTTTAATTTTATTTAATGTAAAATGTGTGTTAATATGATTTTAAAAATTTTAAAAACCAAAGTCATAACTTGTTTGGTCGACCCGAACCTGATGATATTGGGACAAGAACATATAATTTTCAACCCGAATTCGAAATGACCCAAACTCGAAGTAACTTGAACCCGAAATAACAGAACCCGAACTGACCGACCAATTTGCTAGTTCTAGCACTAACTCATATCCCGAAAATAGTAGTAGAAAGAGTACAATTGTTTTTATTAACATTAATTAACAGAAAAAATTAACATATAATCTAATATTTAATCGATCAAACAAAAAGAGTTTCACATGACACTTTATAATATAAAATAATCATGTATTATGTCTCATCAAAATGACTCGAGATTAATAATATTAACGTTTTGTTAAAAATTCCTGATGGCACGACACGATTTATTTTCCTCGGTAATAAAAAACGACTTAAATAAGGAAAAAATAACTTAATTACTACATTATTAAAAAAGAAAAATATATGTGTAAAGAATGAATTGATATAAGAAGAATTCATCCATGCGGGTGTTTGAGAGTGTTTGTAACACCCTAATCCGTTCAGGTCTGCAGCCCCTTTCGGACTAAAGTATTAACTTGGTAATCGTAAAATTTAAAACATTTCAAACACTTTTATTTATCACAATAATATTTTTCATATCATAAACAGTACGGAGTTTTCAATATTGCGGAAGCTTAACAAATCATAATTACAAACATAATTTATTTATGTTCTTTAATTCAAAACATCACATCCATTTAGACAATCTCGCCTCCAAGATCACGTCACATCCTTCTTTCAACCTGCGTGTAGCAAATAAAACATACTACACGCTCAGCGGTAAAGCTGAGTAAGCATATCTAATGCGTCGAACATCCATATAAATTGTATCTCAATTCATAATCAAATCATTTGATATCATGCACATAATGTTCAGTTCAGACATTCGATAATCAATATTCAATTTTCAACATTCATTATTCAATCATTCAACATGTATATTCATCATTCATAACCAACATTTTTATTCAACATTCATCATACAATATTCATCATTTGTCATTCAACAATATCCTTAAACTATTCTTAGTCTAAGGCCAATATATTTGATGTTTACCAACTCTTAAACGAATTCTAGTTTAATATAGTTAAACTATATTCCAGTTTAAGGTACTCTTAACTAACCCTTAAGCTAGGCCTAGTTTAAGATACAAATTTTCAAAAAGAGGTTTTCAAAATCTTAAACTTACCTTCGCTTAAGGTCATCCAAAAACGGAACAGCGGAATGCTCACTGTCGGGTTGGGTGGTATCCCCAAACGAGTGCCTCAAGTTTGGTTTGTAGATCCCGTACGTACGTTTTAACTCAGGCCACCGAATATTCATAATTATACCCGCAAGGCTATTTCTAAGCTATCTTAAAGGTCTTCTAGATAGTCTTAGAAACCAAAGTCAACC